GTCCCGCACACACATTTCGGCACACCCCTCACATGTCGCGTGGTTCCATAGGGAGTTCCACCGAAGGTCCCAGTGGGTGTGTCCGCTTGCGTCCCGCACGCCCATTTCGGCACACCCTCACGCGTTTCGTGGCCCCATACGGAGCTCCACCGAAGGTCCCAGTGGGTGTGCCCGCATGCGTCCCGCACACACACATTTCGGCACACCCCTCACACGCTTCGTGGCCCCATAGGGAACTCCACCGAACGTCCCAGTGGGTGTGCCCGCATGCGTCCCGCACACCCATGCCGACACACCCCTCACGCGTTCCGGGGCCCCATAGAGGCTCCACCGAAGGTGTTTTCGCGCGCGTCGCGAGGGCTCCGCCTTGCGCTGCGCCCGCAGCCTTGGACTTTGGAGTGCGCGGGCAAAGGACAAGGAAAAATGATGGGAGGAAGCGGGCGCGATCCTCGTGTGAGGCGTGCCGACATGGGCGTCGCGGCGCGCGGGCGTTGCCGTCGGGGTTCCCAGGGAAGCCCCGTGCAGAGGCTACGCCACACAATTCGGCACACCTTCATACGGTTCGTGGCCCCATAGGGACTCACAATTGCATATGGTTGGGCCCGTCGCCAGGATAATTTTCCCAACCGTCCTGAGGTGTTGGGTCCTCGTTTTGAAGAGACGGTGCCCCGCGTTCCTCTTCTCTCCTCCTCCTCCTCCTCCCCCTCCTCCTCCCCTCCCTCCTCCTTCCTCCATGCGTTTCACCGACCCAGCACAGCGCTTCGTGGCCCCATAAGGGGGCTCCACCGAAACCCCCAGTGGGACCGCCCGCATGCGTCCGCCACCACCCAGCACAGCCCTTGCTCCCTTCGTTTCACCCACCCAGTACAGCGCTTCGTGGCCCCATAGGGAACTCCACCGAAGGTCCCAGTGGCACCGCCCGCATGCGTCCGCCACCACCCAGCACAGCCCTTGCTCCCTGCGCGTCGCCCACCCAGCACAGCGTTCCGTGGCCCCATAAAGAGCCCCACCAAAGGTCCCACTGGTACCGCCCGCATGCGTCCGCCACCACCCAACACAGCCCTTGTTCCATGCGTTTCGCCCACCCAGTACAGCGCTTCGTGGGCCCATATGGGGTTCCACCGAAGGTCCCAGTGGCACCGCCCGCATGCGTCCGCCACCACCCAGCACAGCCCTTGCTCCCTGCGCGTCGCCCACCCAGTACAGCGCTGCGTGGCCCCATAGGGAGCTCCACCGAAGGTCCCAGTGGCACTGCCCGCATGCGTCCGCCACCACCCAGCACAGCTTTTGCTCCCTGCGTTTCACCCACCCAGTACAGCGCTTCGTGGCCCCATAGGGGGCTCCACCGAAGGTCCCAATGGCGCCGCCCGCATGCGTCCGCCACCACCCAGCACAGCCTGTGCTCCATGCGTTTCACCCACCCAGTACAGCGTCTCGTGGTCTTATAGGAGACTCCACCGAAGGTCCCAGTGGCACCGCCCGCATGCGTCCGCCACCACCCAGCACAGCCCGTGCTTCCTGCGTTCCACCCACCCAGTACAGCGTTTCGTGGCCCCATAGGGAGCTCCACGGAAGGTCCCAGTGGCACCGCATGCATGCGTCCGCCACCACCCAACACTGCCATTGCCCCCTGCGTTTCAACCACCCAGTACAGCGCTTCGTGGCTCCATGTGGAGCGCCACCGCAGAAGATATTCACAATTGCGCTATTCACAACTGCGTATGGTTGGGTCGGTCTGTCGCCAGGCTAATTACTCAAGGCGGTGCTCCTCCTCGCCGCCGAATACCGCCGTCCCGACAAATCCAGCGTTCCCGCCCGAGATTTCCTTCCGTTTTACGCTTGGCTGGCGCCCAATTTTTTTTTGAACTGGCGCCGCTCCCAGCAAGAACAACGATCCCGCTCGAGGCTTCCTCTCTTTTTCCTGAAAACGGTTCTGTTCCTCGCCGCCGACAACTCCCGTCCCGACAAAGCCACGGTTCCCACTCGATGCTTCCTCCCTTTTGACTCAAAGCTGTGTTCCTCTTCGCCGCCGAATGCCGCCGCCCCGGCAAAACCAACGCTCCCGCCCGAGACTCCTTTCCGTTTTACGCTGGGCTGGCGCCCAATTCTCTTTTGAATTGGCGCCGCTCCCAGCAAGAACAACGCTCCCGCTCGAGATGTCCTGTCTTTTTCCTCAAGACGGTGCTGTTCCTCGCCGCCAACAGCCCCCGTCCCGACAAAACCACAGTTCCTGCTCGATGCTTCCTCCCTTTTTACTGACGGCGGTGTTTCTCCTCGCCGCCGAAAGCCGCCGTCCCAACAAAACCAGCGTTCCCGCTCGAGACTTCGTTTTGATTTACGCTGGACTAGCGCTCTACTCTCTTCAGCATTGGCGCCGCTCCCAGCAACAACAACAGCCCTGCTCGAGACTTCCTCCCTTTCTATTCAGGGCCAGGTCCTTGCCTCACCGCCGACAGCCCCCATCTCCACCAGGCCAACCCTGTCGTTCGATACTTCCTTGTGCTTTACTCCTTCGCTGGGGTCCCACTGGCGGTCTCGCCTTGGACGCAGCAAGGCGCGGGCATGTATTTTCGAGGCGGGATATGTTGAATTTCCTCGGAGACCTCATTGGGCGGGAGATCTGGGAATGGGAATAACGGACCCCGCTATAGAGCAAGAGTCCCCCATGACGTGGATGGTTGTCATGATGGACGCATGCTTCGTGTGGAAACATCGCGCGTGAGGGTAGAATGATTGTTGTTGTTGTTGTTGTTGTTGTTGTTGTTGTTGTTGTTGTTGTTGTTGCTGTTGCTGTTGCTGTTGCTATTGCTGTTGCTGTTGCTGTTGCTGTTGCTGTTGCTGTTGCTGTTGCTGTTGCTGTTGCTGTTGCTGTTGTTACTGCTGCTAGGAACCAGTAGGAGACATGTCAACACATCGAAACCAATCAGAGAAATGACCGCCTCAGTCGTGCCCGTGCTTGTCCTTGCTGCCGGCGCCCGCGCCGCCGAGTGGCGCCGATGCTTGCGCCGGAGTGCAGCCTGCGCGCGGGTAGGTGCGATGCCCAGCTCAGCACGCCATCGCCGCTCTGTCGCCGCTGCCGCAGCGGGCCCCGCGCGCGCGCCGCCAGACCAGTGCGCCGCCAGCTGGGCGAGCAGCTCCGTGGCCCCGTCTCCGAGCCGTCCCCAGGCCTCCATCCCAACAGCGGTGACTGCAACGCCCCTGACCCATCGCCGTAACGCCGCCGCTTCCTCTGCGTGGCGTCTGCCGCCGCGGCGCCGTCCTCCATCGCAGCCTTATGCCGCAAAGCCACGCGCCAAGGATGCGTGACTGTGGCGTCAACCCACGCCTCCCACAGCCACTGCTGACTCGAGGAACAGAAGTGCAGGTCGAGCCTCGCCTCGACGGCCTCTGCGCTGCCTCGGGCGCCTTGCAGCAAGACAGGGCATACTTCCTCGAAGCTGTACTCGACGTTGGCCTCCTGTGCAATACGGCCCAGGCACTTGCACACGGCCGTGTGCGACCGGTAGCGTCTTCGACCGCGTCCGCCCAGGATTGCGTGATCACCAAGAGTATCAAGTTCACGACCACATCGTCCTTCCGCCGCGTCGCAGTGCTGGAGCGCGTCCAGCCTCGCTGGCCGGTGCCTACAGGGGAAACTATGCATTGTCCCCAAGCCCATTCTCCAACGCACGCCAAACTCAAACTCACGATCTGTTAAGCACAGCGCTGGCGTTTTCGGACATGTCTCCACCCAGCTGCCGACTCCGTTCCCGGCCGCCTCCCGCAGCCGGACCTGGTGTCGGAGGTGCGCAGCGGCCCTCTGCCTTGCGAGCTGGGCGCCCGCGGCGCGGGGTCACTCCTCCGCGCAGCTCTAGCCAGCCTGCGCTGAATGCGCTCCGCTGTGGCATGCCTGTCTAGTAGCGTGGCGCGTGGCTTCTCGGCGACTGCCTTCAAAAGTAGGCCCTGCAACCCCGGTACTGGCTGGAATGTCTGGTGGGGGTTGAACCGCGGTTCCTGCCCGGTCGCGATCTCGCCTGTCGCGGCCAGCTCAATGCCGTACTCATTGCGCAACCGCCGCAAAGTGTCATCGACGGCAGCGAAGGGCACTGCCTCGAGCAATTCGCTTTCAGGAGTGTCTGGCAGGATCTTCCTCAGATGCGCACGGGCTGTCGTCAAGCACTGCGCAATGTATGCCAGCCTCCCCACCCGTGCGGCGGTGGCTGCAGACCCGAAGCCCATGCCGCTGAGCTCCGAAGGCCAAGAGATTTGCTGCTCCGTCTCCACAGTCCAGCCGCTCCTTGCCGGCCTCCAGGACAGCGCGATCGAGCTCTTCAGCGAGGGGCAGGGATGCTGAGGGCTCCAACGTCCTGATATCGTATACCAATGCTTTCGCCACGACACTTCGAAGCATGTGCCACGATGCCTGCCAGGTGGCAGCAGGCCCACCTTCGCACCCGTAGGCTGCCCACTCCGCTGCTAACCGCGTGGTCTGCACAAGCCGCTGTCTGGCGGGAGCCGCGGAAACGGAATACGGCCCAAGGAGGGCTTCGAACTCGCCCCCGTACGCGCACCCGAGCGCTGGGAGGCCTCCAGAGACCTGGGGGACGCTGGCGATGAGCGGATCCCTCACGCCCTCTCTGTCCTTCTCTGGAACAAAAGCGGCCGATTTCTCGATGCTGAGACTCGTCCCCGCCAGCGCCAGCTCCTCAGACAAGATCACCAAGGCACGGTCCACTTGCCGCGGCGCAGCGATGAACATCAGGTCGTCCACCAGGCTAGGCAGATGTGCCCAAATGCCTCAGATGCCATACGTCGCCATGCCGACTCGATAACTACACGGTAACCTCGCGAGAAGGCAGGCGTCGAAGAAGTATCACCCTGAGCCGTGCCTCACGCACCGTCGCCTGTTCCCACTGCCCTGGCCGCCACTCTATTCACGCAGTTGTCGGCGCGCTCCACCGGCAAGCAAGGAAGTTCGCATGCCTCGGACACCATCTCGTCGTGCCCTGAAGCATCGCGGCCCTGTTCATGCGGCCGTAGGCGTTCTCGCCGTCCAGGTTGACGTAGGCGAGGTCGGGCTTCAGGTTCATCATGCCCTGCCCAACCATGAGCATGAGTTCTGGCCCTGCCGGCTGGCCTCCGTACTGCGACCAATGCAGTCCCTCTCCTGTGCCGTTCTTCGCGCCTATCTCCCTGATGACATCTTGCACAATGCCACTGGCAAGCTTCAGGACGCACTCCATGAGAGAGATGTTCCGGGGCTTCCCGTTGGGTTTCCTGGGTGGCCTCAGGACCCGCTCCTGCAGCGTCGCAACAACCCAGGGCGGGAAAGCGCCGTCGGCCCACTGCTGCGTCCACCTCACGAGGGTTTGGATTTTCCCCCACCGCCACCAACACGTCGTTACGGCACCTACCTCCACCAGGCTGCGCGCCGATCCTAAGCAGCGCTGGCCTCCGTCTGACGTGCCTCGCCAGCACGCGAAGCCTGGCACGCGGCTCGCTGCCTGCAGCTCGCGCGCTGGCCAACTCCGTGCTGAGGTGAACGTCGTCGGCAGCACTAGTCTCCAGCACCAGCAGCTTCTTCTGGGCGTCCGCCGTGGCGCGGCAAGGCGGAAGCATCGACTGCCCCCGGAGCAACTGTGCTCCCGTGCGAGGGCAATCGCACTTCACTTTGCCGATCGCCACTCCTCGTCTCCGGCGCCGCGCTGCACCCTCATCCTCAGCGTCCTCTCTGGCCCACGCGCGCCTCTCCTCATCGGAGGCCTCGCTTCTCCGCAGCTCCTCGGCAAGCTTATCCACCAGCTGATGCCACTTTCCGGCCTCAGCGAGTTGCACCTTCCTCCTCAGCACCTTCCACTGCGCAGCCTCCTTTGGTTTCACTCCTACGTCCTCCTCCTCCCGCGGCTCGTGCCTCGCCAGGATCGCGTACAGGCGCGTGCAGAGCAGGACCGCCTCCGCCTCCTTCTCAGTGGCGACGCCTCCTGCGGCCGCAGTGCACAGCATCACCTCCTCCATGATCTTCGCCTGCAACTTGCCGATCCGCCTCCTCGTACGCTTCGGCACCCGCAGAGGCGTCGTCACTGTCAGCACTGGCGGCAGAGCCTGCAATCTTTCCAGCAAGGTGCCCTGTCCATGCTCTTGGGCATCACCTGCGCCCGCGGCCTCTGTGACACCACGGCGACTGGGGCCCCAGCACTGTCCCCCACCCCAGATCCCGCGACGACGCGCAAAGCGGGCAGCGAGTCTGCAGCATCGCCTCCTGCTGGCCCTTCGCGCTCACATAGGAGGCACACGTGCCTGCTGCACGCACTGCAGGCTCACATGCGATTCCCGCAGTGCCGCACAGACTTGCAGCTGCTGCACCTACGCGCTGCGGCGATGCGTGTTACTGCTAGCTGCCCGACTTTGCACAGGCAGCGGTGCGGCCCCGCTGCGACTCTTGGGGCTGCAGGGGCAGCAGCGGCGACCTCATCCTCCGCCTCCTCGGCCTCCGCCGCAGCCACACCGCAGGGGTGGCCACAGCCTGCGGTGCGCCCAGTGGTGCTGGAAGGGCCCTCTCCTCAACGCCACGCGGCGCCTCTCCTGGCCCCGCCTCGGCACATGCCCTGCACAGCACAGCATTGCACGGTGTACACACAGAGGCCCAGCCGCCCTGGCCCAACCCTCCGCCGCACCCAGCGCAAAGCACACCACGGTCTGGGCGCGCTGTCGTCAGGCCACCGTAGCAGCCAGGGCACCGCCGACGAGCAGCTCCTGGCAGCGCATCCCCTGCTCCTGCATCGGGTGGTGCATCCTGTGCTCGTGCGACCCTGACCTCAACCTCCTCCTCAACCTCCTCCTCCTCAACCTCCTCCTCCTCCTCCTCCTCCTCCTCCTCCTCCTCCTCCTCTCCCGCCCCAGCTGGATGATCTCCAGAGGCATCTCCAATTACCTCCGCCTCATGCTCCTCACCAGGCAGGGCCGGGCCTCCTGAAGAGGTCGACGAAGCTACCTCGAAGCACCCCTCCCAGCACCACGTAGACCCATGCGACCGCGTCGAGACGGGCGTTACGGCCTACGCCTCCACAGCCTCCTGGCCGCTGCCCTCGGCCACTGGTGATGGGGGGCACGGTCTGTCCCCGAGCAACACCTCGAGGTAATGCATCCTCTCCTCGAGGTGGCGCTGCTCCTCGCGAAGGGCCTCGCCCATCTGAGCGACAGCCCCTCCGGCCTCGCCAGCGGCGCCCGCCTCATCACCTGGCCGCGTGACCGGCGTGCCGCCTCCTCCTCCACCATCAACAATTCCTCCGCCTCCTGTGCCTCCTCTGGGGGTGGCCGGCGCGCTGCCGACAGCTGACACGAAGTCGCCGTCCCCGACGTCCTCCGCATCAGCACCTTCAGCGCTTCCTGCACTCCCCTCCTCCTCAGCCGGCCTCGAGGCCGAGCCTGGTCCAGGAGCTCTTCGGCCTCCTGTCCTGGCTGTCTGGACGCGGCCTCCAGGTCCAGGACGGCTGCCTGGACGGTTCTCTCCAGGCCGCCGTCCACGATCGCCCTCAGCTGGGCTTCGGAGGGACCGTAAGGTGAGGCTCATAACTCCCTCTTCCGAAAAAGGTCTCGGAGCCGCCCGCCCACTTGCACCGAGGAGTTGCCGTCACGACAGGCGGGGCCCCACGTGCGCCACGCGCCAGCGAACCAGCCAAGCACGCAGAACAGCCGGCGTAACCCCCGGCACGTGGACCTGCGACGAGGCCCCCAGGAAGCGCGTGGTTCGAAGAACACCTGAGAGTGGGGATCCTCGCCCGCACCACTTGACCCAGCTTGCCCCGCTTGCCCCACTTGCTTCGGGTCCCGCGCGGCAAGTGGGGCAAGTGGGGCCAATTGAGCAAGTGGGGCAAGTGGGGCAGGTGGGCAGATTTCAAATAGCAAACGCCGCAGCATGCCCCCCCACATTTTAGTATCTATAATCACATGTGCATCTATATCTGTATATATGTATGCATATGTATATGCTGAGTTGTATGTAATGAATTTCATTGAATCGCTTCGCTCATTCCGCCGGCCCATTTCGCATGACTGAGCCTCTTGGGGCCGCTGGGGGGCCTCTTCAGCGTCGCTTGGGGGCCTCCTGAGGGCCTCTTGGGGGCTTTTGGGGCCTCTCAGGGGCCTCTTGAGGCCTCCTGGGGGCTTCTTAAGGCCGAGGGCTCGAAGTTTTGTTTTGTGTTCCCCCTTTGGGGCATCGCTTGGGGCCCTCTTGGGCCCCTCTTGGGCCGTCTTGGATGCCTCTGGGCCTCTTAGGCCGTCTTGGGGCGTCGGGAAGCCGAAAAGATGGACACGCCAAAATCTGCCCAAAACCAACGGAAAGTAATGAATTTTGCCTCTTGGGGCCCTCTGGGGAGTGCTCTTGGAGGCCTCTTGGGGCGTCTGGGGGCCATCTTGGGCGTCTTGGAACGAGCGTGTGGCATCTCGGAGCACTCTTGAATCTTGAACCATCTTGGAGGGCTCTTGGCGGCCTCGTGGCCCTTCTTGGGGCTCTCTGGAGGGCCACGGGGGCGGCGCCCAGGAGGAAAACCATCTCTGATCCGACCCTGCCGGGGATCGCCCGGGGTACTTTTCGTCCAGGGACCCCCAGGGGCCGCCCCGCGCGCGCGAAGTAGAAGTATTTTTTAGCAGTTACCGGAGATCTTAGCACGCCTCTGGCCCGTTGGGCCGGCGAATTTGTATGCATATATACACATACACGTCGAAGGTTTCCAAAGGCACAGACGTGTGTTTTTCCATTGTTTCTGACTGATTGACGTGGTGCCACTTTTCGCGCTTCTGAGGCCTAAGACGGACAAGACGCCCCCCAGACCGGTCCGAGACAACCAAATAGGATCCGAAGTCCGCCCCAAGACGGCCCGACAGGGCTTCAGGACCGCCCCCCGCGCGGTGGCCTGCTTCGTGCTGCTCCTGGCGCTCCCATTTTGTTCCCTCTCCCCGACACGTCCGCTTCTGATAGTTGCTTCTTCCTCCTCCCCCTCCTCTTCCTCCTCCGTCCCCCTCCACCTCCTTGTTTTACGGACCAGCGGTCGCTACCGCCAGGTCCATGTCACGGCGTCACGGGGGGCGCACGGTCCAGCAGGTGTCCTGCGCTTCGTTCTTTTCCCTTGTCGCCTCTTCGTACGGTTCCCCCTCTGTGCTCGAGTCCTTGTCTCCTTCGGCTTCGGAGTATTGGGGGCCCTTGCAGCGTTATCCCTCCAGGTCGACGCCCATGCAATTAGCTTCAAGACGTCCTGATATGCTCCCAAGACGGCGCAGGGTGCTTCCAAAAAGGGTTCAGAGGAACCCAATATGGGGAAGTTGACTACCCTGCACCGCGCTTGGCCACTCCACTGCTCGCGCAAACATCCCACCCACCCACCCGCAACTTGGTTTGCAAAATCTCTTAAGACCGTGATGGCGAAATGGCACTTGGCAACGACAGCGACGCCGACGACAACAGCGACAACGACGACGACGCCGCCGACAACGACTACGACGACACCGACGACGTCTCCTACGACTTCGACGACGCCGACAACGACGACGACGACGACACCGACGACGACGACGCCGACGACGACGACGACGACGATGACAACGACGACGACGATGACGACGCCGACGATGACGACAACGACGACACCGACGGCGACGACGACGACAACGACGACGACGACGTCAACGACGCCGACGGCGGCGACGACGACGACGCCGACGTCGACGACGACGAAGACGACGACGACGCCGACGCCGACAACGACGACGACGACACCGACGACGACGACGCCGACGACGACGACGACGATGACAACGACGACGACGATGACGACGCCGACCACGACGACAACGACGACACCGACGGCGACGACGACGACGACGACGTCAACGACGCCGACGACGACGACGACGACGACGACGACGACGACGACGACGACGACGACGGCGGCGACGACGACGACGCCGACGTCGACGACGACGACGACGACGACGACGCCGACGCCGACGACGACGAAGACGACGACGACGTCGCCAACGAAGACGACGACGAGGGAGGAGGGAGGACGACGACGGCGACAACGACGACAACGACGACAACGACGAGGGAGGAGGGATGACGGCGACGACGCGAACGACGAAGGAGGAGGAAGGACGGCGACGCCGACGACGACAACGACGAGGGAGGAGGGAAGACGACGACGACGACAACGACGACGACGACGGCGACGACGACGACGACGGCGACGAAATAGGAGGGACGACGACGAGACGCCGACGACGCCGACGACGACGACGAGGGAGGAGGAGGAAGGACGACCACGGCGTCAACGACGACGGAAACCACGACGCCAAAGAGGACGACGACGATGAACACGAGTAAAGACAGAGGACGACGTAGGCGACGACGACGACGACGCGGGAGGAGGGAGGACGGCGACGACGACGACGACGACGACGACACAAGAGCGCGCGCGCACGCTTTTGTTGAAAATCCGTGTTGCGAAGCCTTGTGTTTTTGTAGGTTTCTCGGACACACGATTTTGAAATTCTTCCGAACCCGATGGGTTTTGAAGGATTTCGGCATACGCGCGCGACGACGCGCGCGTCTGCACTTCGTCCCATTTGTTCAGAGGATTCTCGCGACGGCACACGCGCAAGGGCGTTCGACAGATTTCGACATGCGCGCGCGAAGCCCGTTTGGTAGCATTTTGCGAAAATCTTGAAAAATATGGTTTTCTTAAGATTTCGCAAGAGGTCGCGCGTAAGCTTTTTTAGCAAATCAGTGTTGCGAAACCCTGTTTTTGTATGTGTTTTGGAAGCTCGAGTGCGAAATCCTTCCGTCACCGAAGGTTTTTGCAGGATTTCGGCATGCGCGTACGACGACGCGCGCGTGTGCACTTCGTCCCATTTGTTGCAAGGGATTCGTACAACAAATCTTATGTTAAGACACAATATGTCCCCGCGTATTGTTTTTTACACGGGAACCTCAGGTGGGCCGATCCCGGCCCCTCGGGGAT